CTATTTCTTGGCCTGCAGAAATAGTAAAACTCAAAATATTCGGTGATACCCATGGTCAACTTCAGTACAATAAAGGTGCAGAGTATGCGTAAGTATTTTTCATTTCAATTTTATTTAAGATCTAAAGTGTTTTTTTTTGTTTAATATTTACAATTTTTGGAACTCGTTTAGATATTTAATATTCATATTGGCAGTACTTGGTAATGATACTTTCTTACTATTTGCAACAAAAAATTACATACCTCACTTTTACTTCTATTTAAATGCTACTGTGTAGTATTAAATTCATTGGAATTTTGTCGATTTTATGTATTTAAGATACAGGAGTACAATTTTGACTTTAGGTAAATTACTTAAATTATGATATTTATATTTATATGCATTTGCACTTATATTTGTTCTTTCGTGTGCAGGTTAACATCATGTATTTGGGTATTATTTCCGAGTATGTTATATAATGTTATAATGTTTATATGGCCAATTTCTTTTATAAACTCTTCATTCATTCATTCATTCATTATTCTTTTTCGGTGCATTCTGAAAATAGTTATTTATACATACTTTACGTTTAAAGAAATGGGTGACATTCCATTCACATGTCCAGAGACCTATCCTTACTCTTCACATCTAATCCGCTTGGCTTGTCAAATTCGTATAATAAATTTTATTTTTATGTGGTTATATTTTAGTAGTTTCGTACTTTTGATCGTTGTTAGATGGTATTTACGAGATTATGAAAAACTTCAAAATAGTAATGATGACGCCGAAGAGAGTAAATTTAGGGAAACTGTAGAGCAACCAGAAATTCAGAAACCAGCTGCTGTTAAGGCTCCTCATGCTGTAGTATAATATATGACGGTATTTGTAATAAGAACTTCTACTTGAAATGATTCATCTATTATTGCTAAATAAAGTACACGGATTTCTTCATTCATTATAATAAGTAAATTTACATGCATATTTATTTAGTTTAATTAAAAAGATGATACGATTAATCTATTTTTTTAAAAAATGTTAAAGAAGCAAAGTATTATTGATAATATTTGTCGCGTCAGAGACATATCATATCCAAGCAAATCGAATTTCGGGGTTTAGTTTTTAAAAGGAATTAACTTTTTTTTTTAATTTACAACAGATT